GTGATGCTTTGAGCAAGTTACCTAACTCCGCTGGGCCTTGGCTTTCTCATCTATAAAATATGGATGATAGTAGGATTGAATCAGCTTACATATGTAAGGTGCTTAGAATGATGCCTGGCACACAGTAAACACATATTAGCTGCTATTATTATTTTATGCCCTCTCCTATATTGTGTTCACTTTAACTTCTTGGCACCCAACATATTCTTTTCTTTTCCTTTTTTTTTTTTTTTTTTCTGCCACAACCGTGGGGCATTCAGGATCTTACGGCCCCCAACCAGGGATCGAATCCTCACTCCATTCAGTGGAAGTGCAGGGCTTAACCACTGATGGTCCAGGCACAACATTCTCAACTCCTATTTCTTTTGGTAAACACAAGATGGGATTCTCCACACTCATGGCATTTACTGGCTGTAACAGGCAATGTAAAGCTGGTTTTTAAAAACTAGATTCTTTAAAACCTTAGAGGGCAATCTTTTGTGAGAAGATATATCATTATTTTTAATTATTTTATATCTTTTCAGAACTAAGTTTTATTGTCTTGTGGTTACTTGGAGGAAGCTATTTATTCCAGTGATGCTGTCATAACTCAAATTTGGGGGAACTTCTCTTTATAATGGTGCTTAGAAATCTCACATCTTTTAATATCTTCAGTTGGTGATTAAGTCTTTTAAGGTAAATTTGACTATATAAATGTCCTAAAGTGGTAGACAGCCAAAGCCCTTCTAGCTCTAGGCCTGGAATATCCAGTCACCTGCTCAGCTTCCTTTCTTGTTTATCAAGAATCCAAAATGATGATCTCCCCATCTAAAACAACATCCCTTCCAAGTTTCTTATCTTTTTACCCAACACCAGAAACCTAGGTGTCAAACCTAGATCCCTTCCTTGAGTTCACGTTCCTTTACCTCCCTTATCACTAGGCCTGGTACATTTTGCTTCCTAAAACTAATTCATCTGCTTTTCTCTACTTCCAGTATACCACCCTGGTTCAAGCTGCCATCATCTCTTCTGTAAACAGAAGCCTCTTCACCAGTTTGTCCACAGTTGTTCTGGCCTTCTGCAGACTTCTCTACACCCTGCTTACAGTAATCTTTCCAAAACTCAAGCCTAATTATGTCCTACCATATATCCCTTCCATTCCTGTTAAAATCTGCCTGCAATGCAGAAGACCCAGGTTCGATTCCTGGGTTGGGAAGATCCCTGGAGAAGGAAATGGCAACCCCCCTCCAGTATTCTTGCCTCCCATGGGAGAATCCCATGGACAAAAGACCCTGGCAGGCTACAGTTCATGGGGTCGTAAGAGTCAGACATGACTTAGCAACTAAACCACCACCACCACATATCCCTTCCATTCCTGTTAAAAACAAAAACTTCTACAGCAGGTGGTCCAGTGGCTAAGACTCTGAGCTCCCAGTGCAGAGGGCCTGGGTTCGATCCCTGGTCAGGGAATTAGATCCCACATGCCATAACTAAAGAAAGGTCTTTGTGCAACTAAAGCTCATGCATGCCTCAACTAAGACCTGGCACAGCCAAATATATAAACATTTTTTAAACAACAAACTTTTAATGCAGTCGTGGTTTAATACCCCCAAATTCCTAAGATATATGACTTTGCTGCTTCTCCCATCAAGAATTGGGATCTGTTCCTTCTCCCTTGAACCTGGGCTCGCCTCATGACTTGCTTTGACTAATAAAATGTGGCAAGAATGATGATGTGTGAGTTCTGGAGTATCATTCCTTCAGAGACCTTATGGCTTCTGCCTTTGTCCCTTTGGAACACTGCCCTGAGACCACCATGTAAGGAAGTTTGCTGGCGGATGAAGCCACTTGGAGAAGGGAGGAGCCCCGGTCAACAGCCAGCACTAATGGCCAGGTGTACCAGTAAGGTCATTGGATTTTCCTGTTTAGCTGCTCTGTGGGCTGAATGCAGCCACGTGAACGAGCCCAGGTGAAAACACCAGAAGACGCTCCCAGCCAATCCACAGAATCATGGAGTAAAAATAATTTTTAAATATTCCTTTAAGCCACTAAATTTGGGGGTGATCTGTTGTGTATCAAGATAACTGATTTTGAGGGTTTCCTACTGTCCTTAGGATAAATATAATATGCTGAAGTGCCCTACAAGGCCAAACATGCTCTGCAACCACCAAGTCTCACATTCTGCTTGCCTTTCTTCTTTAGACATTCAGCCTTTGGAGACCTCTGACTTGTCTGTTTGTTTCCCCCACAAGGTTTTCCCGTGTGCTTCCCCTAACCTTCTTGCTTTCACCTTAGCAACACCTACTCATCCTTCAGCTCTCTTTGCAGCCTCACCATGTCAGATACTCACTGTTCACTCTGGTAACACCAGTGCTTTCCTCTGGACTTCGGACAACCTAAGTTTGAGTGTGTGTTTGGGGTTACTTTGCCTTCCCCATCTGTAAACTCCACAAAGGTTGCTGAGCCAGGTTTTGTTCACCACTGTGTCCCGGTGCTGTACCATAGTAGGACCCAATAGATAAGTTCTACTAATGAATGAGGTGAATGATAAATATGGTATGTGAGGGAATTAGCTAGTGGTCCAGTGGTTAGGACTTGGTGCTTTCACTGCCCAGGGAAGCCTTGGGTCAGGGAACTAAAATCCCACAAGAGGAGCAGCATGGCCTATATATATACACACACACACATACATATATATATATATATATAGTTAACAAGGTGTGACAATAAAGGAAGGTTTCTTACAAGGGGTTTCTAACGGCCTCTGAAAGTAATTTTAAGAGGACTTTTAAAAAATGTTTTGAGCAATGAAGGAGGCATTAAATGAAGGAGGTTCATGGCCCTCCAAGGTAACTATTTAAGGAGAGTGCCATTTTGAATTTATAAATTGTCCTATGTTTGTTACAGAATAACTAAGCTTAGTTTAGTCATACATTTTACCTTTTTGTTTCCTCCACAGTCTTCCCAAATGAGTGGGAGATGATAGGAGTGGATGTAAGTGTTCATTAGTTGATCCGGTTGGTTGCTAATCCAGTAAATGGCATGCTGCTGACTTCTCTCTTTTGGAAATTGGTTTTACTTTGCTCTCCCAGCTTCAGGATCAAGGAAGGGTGAGGATGGGAAGAAGGGAGATGGTAAGGTTATATTTTAAGGAAGGAAGAGCTCATCCTCCCCTGCCTTGTGATCATTAAAGGTTGTAACTTTCCACCCACTTTCTGTCCCAGGGAAATCAGAGTTCTTTAGGGAAGAGTAAGGGTAAGTGACATAATCCCATTTGATCCTGCTTTACTGCCACTCTCACACCTGATCTTTCACTTGTTTTCTTTTTATAACAGCTCTCCTCTCTCTCTCTGCATCATTTCAACCATAGACCAGTTTTCATTTTACCTCTTCTTCCCCAAATCCTCCATCTCAGAACAGTGCCTCCCACGCAGCCACAAGAAAACCACCCACAGTTTTTTGGATAGTGTGGGTATTAGGCTTCCCAGGTGGCACCAGTGGTAAAGAACCTGCCTGCCAATGTAGGAGATGTAAGAAACACAGGTTCAATCCCTGGGTCAGGAAGAACCCCTGGAGGAGGAAATGGCAATCCACTTCAGTATTTTGCCTAAGAAACACAGGTTTGATCTCTGGGTCAGGAAGAATCCCTGGAGGAGGAAATGGCAATCCACTTCATTATTTTGCCTGGAGAACCCCATGGACAGAAGAGCCTGGCAGGCTATGGTCCCTAGGGTTCCAAAGAGTCAGCCATGGCTGAAGCAACTTGGCATGCACTGGGTATCAGGAAAGAGGGAAATAAGACCCTTGACTAATACAACTTTTCAAAACAAAACAAGAATAAGAGTGTCAGAGGGAGGAGCAACACAGCTATGAAGCCAGACCTCTAGGTTCCAAGGCATGTGGTGACTGAAAGAAGAAAACCGGGTCTTTGATGACAGCAGTGGCTAGGAGCAAGGTGCCTGGGTCACTAAGGTACATGAGCAGTGGAGAGGAAGAGTCCTGGAGTTTTCTACTGGCAGGGGGCTAGGGAGTCAAAGAGGTGAGACTGAGAGCCTAACACTCAACCCCCAGCAACTTCAGACACAGTAAGTGATGATCAAGCTGAGATTTTATTTACAGTTCCCTGGGAAGTCTTGCACAAGAGGGGCCATCATTATTGCTTTAAGATTATTGCCAGGAGGAAGACACAGTCCTCCCCTGCCAGGTAGGAAGTCCTGCTCAAGGCTCAAAGGTTTATCCCCAAACCTTTTATGTTGGCCCCATTTCCCTGACGTGACCTAAAGGCTGTCACTGTTTTCTGCGAAGTGAGGCCCAGTGTGCTTTCCAAGGTCTTCCCTGGCCACTTCTGCCAGGACACTGTATACACTGGCCATCAAATTTCCCTCACCGGTGCTTTACTACTGCACTCCCCACTCTACCCTTCTCCCCAAGAACAAAGCATCAATATGAATTCTAGTTTTACGCTCTTCTCCACCTCCTGGCTGAGGCAGGGTCCCGGTTTCCCAAAAGTCATCATTTACTTCCTGCCAGGACCAGCCTGGCTTCCTTTGTAACGAATTTAAGAGTCCCATTTCCTTTTTTCCAGGTGACACCACAACTCACTTCTTATTAGAACTCACAACTCCTTGATGACATTTCAAGGGCCACTTTCGAGGTACTCTGCAATGGGTCTTGTATATGCCTTTTTGTTTTTCCCTGGACCTCGGCGATTAGGGGAAGAGAGAAGGAGCGAGACCAAGTCGCAGAGAGGGGACGGCCCAGTAGCTCATGCCCAGGATTAGCAGAAAGGCCTAGGTGGACGTAGCAGGGGGCGGCGGACTACTTTCCCTCTCAAGCCCCACTGCGGGAGGATATGGCTTTGTTCATGCTATCGCTACTCGAAGCTGGAGCTCGCTAGTGGGCGGGGCCGCCCTGTCTCGGCCGCTGCGTGGAGGGATCCGGAGCGGGAGGGAGGCAGAGGCGGGGACGCGTTTCTGAGGGATGCAGCGGCTCAGGGTTTGGGTTCCTGCGTCCCTGGTGGACTACTTCTTGGGATGCGGCTTGTTGCCTAGGAGTCCGTCTATCTCCATCACCATCTGCGGGGTCAGCTGACTCAGCACCTGGAATTGAATGGGGGTGAATGGGGGTACATGCAGGGCCCTTGAAAGAGGGCAGGAGGTTCGAGGACCCGGGGAGCCTCACAGCAAGGCCTAGTCACAGCTGTGCTTCTGCTTTACCTTCTCGCCCTGGGACCGCTCATTTGCAAATTGAGACCTTGTAGTGGGTGACTCACCTCAGGCCCATTCTGGGTTGGACATCAAGGTCTTGACTGCTGGGGAAGGGGACAGAGATGAGCTCTGGCTCTGAGTCCCTCGCTCACCTGCAGGGCGCCCAGGTGCTCCACCAGCTGCTCCGCACTGGACACCCCCAGCAAGACCGAGCTGACCCCCTCACTGCGGAGACACCACGCTGGGGCCGAGAAAGAAAAAGAGAGAGAACTGGTGGGAAACAGTGAACACCCAGACTTCAGAGGGGTCTCTGAGGAAGAAGGACCGCTCCAGAAACAAACCAGTCTGTGGTTTGGTAGCTCTTAGGCGGAGACAGGGACCCTGCAGGTCCAGGGCTGGCAGTGTCTCACCAATAGCAAGCTGCGCCACAGTGCAGCCCAGCTGGTGAGCGATGGGGAGAAGGTCCATGACTTTGGCTTGTTGTTTCTTGCCATCCTCACTTTGCACTTTGTCTTTGTGCCACTGGTAGCCCTGGAGGCCAAGGAGATTCATCAAAAGACTACTTCTCACTCAGTCCACTCCTGCCATCCCGAGCCCCCAGATCTCACCTTGATGGTGACCCTGCAGGTATCTGGGACTCGCCCATCATACTTGCTAGTGATGAGGCCACAGGCCAGAGGGGACCAGGTGACTGAGCCAACACCTAAGACGGAGAGGACCAGATGTGGGAAGGGGATCTCAGTGACGGTGAGGCCGAGGGAAAGGCAGGGATGAGGGGACTGCGAACCAATCTTGTGGTAGAGCTCTGGCAGCTGCATCTCCACCTTCTCTCTCTGAAACAGATGGTGCTCAGCTTGTTCACACACTGGAGGGATCAGATTGAACTGTCTGGCCATGGAGTAGGCCTCCTGGGTTGGGGCGGGGAAGAGACAGGGGTCAGAGCAGTCCTTCCATTGTCTTCCACTCGCCCTCCTCCAGCAGAGTGGGGTTGGGAGTGGCCATGTGAAAGGTGGTAACGAGTTGTGAGATGGGGGCAGTAGGTGGCACACTCACCATGATTTCTGCAGCCCCCCATCGGGATGTCCCCCAGTATAGGGCCAGGCCCTGGTTGATGACGTAGGTCATGGCTCGCACAATCTCTAGGCACATAGGAGAAGGAAAGCTTCACTCTCAGATCCCTGGCATCCTGGGTTCCAGATCTGTAGACCTCCACCTGCCCCACCAAGACCCCACTCATCCCTGTGAGAGGTTGGCATCTGCTCTTCGCTTCCCTCCCTGTCCAAGTCCTGGGGTCTGAGCCTCCACTGTGGAACTTGGGAGACCTCCTGAGCAGGGCCTGGCTTCTGCTGAAGGTTTAAGAAGTGCTCAGTTTTGAAGGGCTGTCAGGGTTGGGGTGCTTCTTTACCCTCCATGGGACTGTTGGGGTCCAAACGATTGGCAAAGATGATGTCCACATATCCCAGCTGGAGGCGCTCCAGGGATCCTCGCAAGCCTGGGGTAAGCACAGGGAGAGGAAAGTAAGCTCTCCAGCTTTAGCTGCCTAAAAACTCAGACCTTACCCCTCTGCCATGGCCACCTAAATCCCAGCTTCCCTATTCAGAGCCTCAGACTTGGAGCTTCAGAGAATATTCCCAACTTCTCTAGCTTCCGTCCTCAGCCAGCTCAGGTTCCCAGCCCCTCTCACCTTCAATGATGTGTTTGCGGCTCAAGCCTCGCTCGGTTTCTCCCCTGTAGAAAAAGACAAGTCAAAGATGAGGTGCATCAAAGATAAGGGACCAGGGCTGGCCTGGAGCCATGAGGAACCAAGGTGGTAGGGGTCCTCACAGGCAGGAGGCAGACCTAGGGGAGCAGGTGCATGGTCTGCTTTCCCCACCCCATCCCATGCACCTTCACACAGTCTGCAGATTTCTCCCCAACTATAGTGAGGCAGCCACTTACTGTCCTCCCCAAAAAATCTTGGTAGTGATGACATAGCTTGATCTCCTGGAGAAAAAGAAATGGGAGACCCAGCCAGAAAAGGATGTGGGGATGATCATGTCCCCAGCAACTCCCCACACCCCCAAACATGTCTTACCTCCAACCTTTGCTCTTGAGGATGTTTCCTAGGGTTCTTTCAGCCCTGGAAGGAAAACAAGGCAGAAGCACTGACTCCTCCAAGATGGAATCAGTTTCTTTCCCTCCTCCCACCTTTCCCTTCAACTGATTTCTCCCTTGTAAAATGGACCATAAATGAGAAGCCCATTGGGCCATCAGTCCCATTCTAAACTAAATAAAAAGGGCTCCTGTAAGTAGGGTTATAGTTGTACATTTTCATTCATTCATTCAACAAATATCAGTTGTGCAACAGTGAACCAAGCTCTGTTCTCAGTGCTGAAGGGATAGAATAGGATGAGAGACAAGGGACCAACTACAGTGATGCTGGGGAGGATGTCTCATCTGTTTCCAACCATTTGTGTTGCCTTCCCCCTTCTTTTAGTCTCCCCAAAGTCCCACTCAGGTCTTCTCCTGCATTGCAGGCGGATCCTTCACCAGCTGAGCCACCAGGGAAGCCCAAGAATACTGGAATGGGTAGCCCATCCCTTCTCCAGGGGATCTTCCTGACCCAAGAATCAAATGGGGGTCTCTTGCATTGCAGCCAGATTCTTTACCGGCTGAGCTACCAGGGAAGCCTGTGTAGGTACTTGAGTGACATGGGAAAGAAGAAGACAAGTTCTATGGAGGGAGGACCCTCCCCGTTGAGCAGCAAATATGGCCTTGTAAACCAGTAATTGATGGAACTGTGTGTCAGAGGGCAGTGTAAAGTGCTTTGAGAGCTGAGGGGGGTAGTGACCAACTTTGGGGAGTTGGGAAAAGGTTTCTTGGGAGAGCTGACATCTGGGACAAGTCTTAGTGATAAGCAGAAGAGCTTGCCAGAAGAAGAGACAGGGGTAGGTCATCCAAAGTTTTTATTATTCCCAGTGTGAAGCCATATGTGCTGTGGTTATGGAATGTTTGAAAATTTAGCTTTCTCATCCTCACATAGTTGCACATAACTGGTGTCCAAGAAATATCTGGTTTTATTTTGAATGCACAGTATGCCCTGTTGCCCTCAAAGCTAGAGAGAGACAGATGTTGGGACTATAGTTCCCAACATGCTTTGGGGGCCCATTGGCTGAAAGGCTGGAACTTAGTGATGCTTTAATTCCCAGAGTTCTTCAGGGGGGAAACCAAAAAGCCCTGATGTTCTCTCAGCCTTCCAAGTATAACTTAGCTCTTTCACCCCAGTCCTTACTTTCCTGCTGCATACACTTCGGCGGTATCAAACAGGTTTACACCGTGCTCATAGGCTACTGTCAGCACATCCTCTGCTGTCTAGGATGGTGAGAGAAAGAGTTGAAGATCAACCACCAGCCTCTCAGTTACCTTCCTCACTGCACTCTAACCCATCACACCTCCACCTTGGTTGCCACATTCACTTCCCTTTCCCCATCCTCCAGCCTCAAGTCCACCATTCTCCATGCTTGTTGTCCAAACCCCTAGCCAAGTCCGTTTCCCCCCCGTTTGGGTTCCCTCATTACCCCCTCCCCCTGCTTCTAGGTCCCATCACTTATATCAATACCTCATCTGAGATCTGAGAACCAAATGTGACCCAGGTACCTGCAAGAGAGAAGCCAGGCAAATGAGACCAGAGTGGGGGGAGGGGGGGCAGCCATGAAAGAATGCCTGCCCTTCCCTTAATTCCTCTTCTTTCTAACTCACCTAGGCCAAGGCAGGATACCCGAAGACCAGACTTTCCTAGGTTCCTGCAGGACACAGAAGCAGCAGGAAGGGGTGGAGCCTCCATTAGGGACATAGATTATCAGCCTCCAGCATCTCTCATTGCAGATTGAGATGCCCTCAGGGTGTCTCAGGCCAAAGAAACTAGACTCAGTGGGCCCACTAAGTTGGTCAGTGCCAGGGCCATAGAATAAGTGAACAAATAGTAAGTGTTCCTCTGGAGCCATGGTCCAGTGCCTCTGTTCCCTCTTATCACACTGAAGATGTGCTGCCTGCCTAACGCTGCTTCTGGTGTGTCCTGGGTTCGTTTGAGTCATCTCTGGGATGTGTGGAGTTGGGGTAGAGGGTGGCTGGGAGGAATGGGACTGGCTAATTATGATGAGTTTGTGAAAACAGATCCTCAACAGAGTGCTATGCTAAAGGGCAGACACTGGGGTGGAAGGGGGTAAACCAAGTCAAGTTCAGCGTTCAGGCAGGCAAGGGTCCTTGAATAGGCTAGGCAGACGGGCCTCCAACAAAGGCAAGTAGGACACCTGGATGGGGAGTTTGAGAGGAAAGACCAGTTCTCCCCCTTTTTTCTACTCACTCTGCTCCTGTTGGTTTGTGAAGTCTGTCTTCAAACCAGAGAGCCCCCTCCTCCCCGCCCCCACCCCCATCCAGGTACTCCACTCAGCTTCCTAATCAGGGCTGCCATATGGAAGGGATCAAATTCCTCAAGTGACAAAACCAGTTCAGATCAGGGACCTCTGCTGACTCCTGAGCAGGAGCCCCTCCCCTGTCCCCTATTGGTAGTCCTGAGAGCTAAGCGGTTCTCGGTTCTCGGAGATCAAGTCGGTTACATTTCATTCCACCTTCCCCACCTGGTTCCTGGCCCTCGGCATGGGCTTGAGAGATGTAGTGCATCCTTTGGAGGGCCCCACTTCCCTTCCCACCAAGAAAGAGTGCAGGAGACCTTGGGGTATGTGGGGGCGGTATCTGGGTCAGGCACCCTGAGCAGGCCAGAGTGAGAAGCCGTTTCCTTCCCCCCTCTTCCCAGGACACGACCCAAGGACACTCCATCCCAGCAGGGTGGGGTGATGTGCAGCCTGGAGATCTGCGTTTCCCTGGCCTTCCTGTGAGTAAGGAGGAGCATCCCTTGGGTCTGACAGGCCTGGTCAACCTCAGTAAACTTGATTTTCTACTAGGCAGGGGAATGGACAGAGAGCAAAAAAAAAAGAAAAGAAAAGAAAAGGACCGTGTAAGGGAGTGTCAGCGATGGGAAGTAGAGATGGAATGAGCCGAGACCTTCTTAGTGAAGTTTGAGGGGGGTCCTGGCAGCATCCTAGGAAGCCTCTGGGGTCAGGAAAGGGAACAGATGTGGTGGGCGACCAGGCCACCCCCATACCTGTATTTCATGCCAGTGCCTCGGCCGGTGCTCTCTCGGAGGGCCCCAGCAGGCGCTGGGGGTCGGGGGACCACGGCGGCCCGGGCCTTAGGGCCCGACCCTCCTCCCCCTGGAGGGTTCCCATGCCCCGCGCCGACCGGCCCGCCGTTACCGCCCCCGGGGCCCGGCCGGGGTCCACACAGACGGTCCTCACTGCTCCGGCTGCGAAGGTTCTGCTCAGTACATGCGATAGACACCTGCATGCCGGCCGGCCAAGGCGGGGGAGGGGGCTCCGAGGGGGTGGGAAGAAGAGGGAACCGGGAAGCTCGAGGGGAGACACCCGAGGGTGTAGTGGCGCGAGCTCCGGGAGAGCGGGAAGGCTGAGGAGGTTGCGGCGGGAGCCGCCAGGCAGGATCGGGCCCGCGCGGGCGGGCTGCTGGAGGTCGCGGGGTTTGCGGCGAAGAGGAGAAACGCGGGGGGCGTCACGAGTGGAGCGATTAGGATTCAGGGGCACTGGCGCGGAGAGGAGAGGGAGAAATGGACGAGGGTGAAGGTCGTGGGCGATTCTCGGAGGGTAGGAACTTAGGGACAAGGAGGGGGCGGAAGAAAGATGCCACCTCTGCCCAAAGCGCAGCGGGACCCGCTAGGCTCCCAGCCGCGTCGGCAGCCAGCCCAGCTAATCAACATGCATGCACCGCCCCCTCATCTGCATAAAACCGCCCGCCTCCCAGCCCGAACCTGCCGCTTATCTGCATGAGCCTCACCTTCCGGAGCGCTGCAGCTCGAGTGTTTCGTGGGCTCTTAGCAACCTGGGAGCAGCACCCGGAGGGTGGTTCTACTCTCTGGACCCGAGGCCAATCGGTCTTCCACCACCCCAGTGGTTTTCAATCCGGGAGCTATTTTGTCCCCTGGGGGGCATTTGGCAAGGTCCAGAGACATTTTTTTTGGTTTGGTTTTTGCCTTGATGCATGTGGGATCTTAGTTCCCTGACCAGGGATTGAACCCATACCCCCTGCATCGTAAGCATATAGTCTTAACCACTGGACCGCCAGGGAAATCCCTGGAGACATTTTTTTACTGTCACGACCTGAGGGGACATTTGGCAAGGTCTGGAGACATTTTCTGACTGTCACGACTTGGACGCGGGCGTGCATGCACGTGTGTGTGTGTGTGTGTGTGTGTGTGTGTGTGTGTGTGTGATGTGCTACCAGCATTTAGTGAGTGGCAGCAAAGGAAATGGCAATCCACTCTGGTATTCTTGCCTGGGAAACCCCATGGACAGAGGAGCTTGGTGGGCTACAGTCCATGGGGTCGAGAAGAGACAAGACTGAGCGACTAACACTTTCACAGGCACAACAGAGTACCTGGCAGCCCTCCCACCCTCCCCCCAATCAAGGTATTACCCAGCCCCAAATATCAGTCGTGTTGCTGTTAACAAACCCATGGACAAAGCCTCTTTTTTTGCTTAGAGGATGCAGACACCCTGGTTCACGCCTCCATGAGAGGGGCAGGCCCCGATCAACCACTCAAACTTACACGCTCAGGTCCCAGAGGGTGATAAAAGTTTATTCTGTACTTCTCACAGAGTCAGGTAGGGTATCAAACTGGACAGAGGACCTGGTTTGGAGGTGTAGGGACTCCAGTAGGCTGCCTTCCTGTGAAGGGCTTTAGGTTGTTCCCCTAGGATGGCTACCGAGGGGCTTGAGGAGGCTGGGGGACTGGGGTGGTAGGGCTTGCAGCAGGAGCCCTTGGGTGATAAAGGTTAGGTTGGGCCCCAGGCAGACAGCAATTCTTCTGAGGGGTGAGGTGGAGTGCTTCCTTCAGCCAGCCCGGGCGGAGAAGAAGGGCAGAGAGCGGACGTAGGAGTCCAGTCGGGAGCGGAAGAGATCACTTTGCACAGTCTGGCCAAGCGGGCACAGGGGATTCTTCACCACCAGCTCCACATACAGCTGTGAAGAGGGAGGGTGTTAGAGCCAGGCTTTGAACATTTCTTTTCAACCTCACACCTAGTATAACGTCAAGAGTGTGTGAATGCACAGGGATCAAGGGCTGGGAGGCAAACCCTTTGAGGGGAAAGTGGTGGTGGGAGTGTATAAAGACATAAAGGTCCTGAGAAAACCCAGGGTCTCTACTGTACTGTATACAGTACAGTAGGATTAGGGCAGGGATGGAGCCTTGGGGCTCTAAGTGACCATGGCTGTTGAGGCTTCGGGAGCAGGGCCCAAGGTACTGGCACTGACCGCACTGTAGATGTGGTGCAGCACATCTCGGATGGGCCCCACGCCCAAGTCTGTATTCATGACAACCTTGATCCCAGTGGGCGTCTCGTAGTAATGGAGTTTGTAACGGCTAGTTTGGAAGGCCAGGAAGCCGTCCTTCCTGCAGGGATGGGGAGGAATGTTAAGGAATGGGAGTGGAATCTCTCCCAAAGAGATCCTTCTGATCCCCTCTAGACAGACTCCCTCTTAGATACCTCGCAGCTTCACCTTTCACTGTAGCCCCCGTGCCCAACCTCTCTAACCTTCTCTTCCCCACCGCCGCTTCTGCCAGCTCCTGCATTCTCGCTCCTGACTCAGCCTTTCTCTCTGTCTCCTTACCCTCTCTGGGGACCAAAGCCTCTTCCACTCCAGAAAGTACCCCCTCCCCGTCCGTTCCCTCCTTCCCTCAACAACCCCTCCGACTCCGCGTACATGTCTAGCGGGGACATCTTGCTGACAAACGAGCGGATAGAGAAGAGCATCCCGTACATCAGCTTGTACTCCTGGAGGGAGAGGGGCAGAATTAACTCTCTGTTGTAAAGGAGACGGGGTAGGGGTGGGAATGAGCCAGGGTTTGGAGAAAAGGGGCTGGACTGGGACTATGCATTTGGAGATGCGAGGTCACCCGAGTGGCGCGGGGCCCTCTCGTCACCTCCTCCTTAGGGATCCCCGCTTGCTTCTTGCGGTGCCACTCGCTGTAATGCAGACACACTCCATTTCGGTCAAACAGGTACAGGTTGTGGACAGTCATCTGCAAGGCAGAGAATGTGAGCCTCTCTCCGGGACCGCCCACACCCCGTTGGCTCCAGTTTTCAGTCCCGGATCCCTCCAACCAGATGGGGACCGCCCCCCGCCCCGACCCGGACTCACCGGAACTTCTCCGAGTGCCCGTCACTCGACACTTCCGGTTTTCGCGGAGCCCCGCCCCATCGGGTCAAGGCGTCGCAGCAATAACTCCGCCCCATATCTGCTTCAGCCAATCCGTGGCGCCGGGTCTGGGCATGCGCGTCTAAGGCTCTCCGCTCCATAAGCTGGAAGCGGCGGAAAGCACTGTATCCTGGGCTGGTGACGTCATCGAAGCGAGCGAGGCGGAGCTGAGGAAGGTGGGCGGGAGCCTGCCAACGGTTTTGAGTGTTGGGAAGGGCGCGAGAAGAGGGGTCGTTTGGATCTTCGCCTACCAGGTCTCAGGGGGAGGAGGCATTCCCTAGTTCCCACCTTGGCAAACTGCGGGGCTGAGGACTGGAGGTGTGGGGAGTAATCGGAACGGGGTGATCGAGGTAGGGGATCTCAGGCTAGGCTGGAGCGCCTGAGCGTATTTTTTAGGGCCATCAGAGGGCGTGACTTGAGTGTTCACAAACTTGCTTTTGGGGTAGCAGAGAGGGAGGGATTCTAGGGAGCCATGCTACGGCTTTCTTGCCCGGAGGGATCGGAGGGGATATACCAGAGAGTTGATCCTGGATGGAACGGGTGCATGGGCGAAGAGGAGAGGTGGGGAGTGTGAGGTTCCTGCCTCGCTGAGACCGGAGCCAGTTGAGGGGCCATAAGACAGCTGGACAGAAATTAGGCCCCTATTGGATTTGGGTCCGTTTCAGTTTGTGCATTCTGGCTGGGTGTGAGAACTTAAGAGCTCAGTGGACTATGAGAGCCTGGCCCAGAAGTTGAACTGCAGCTTTCAGCGCTCCAGAGGAACTGCAGTGGTGCGCCTGCCCCGCAGTAGGTCTTCCATCCCCACCCGCTCCTTGCTGCACCCGCCTTTTCCACTGTTCCCAGGAGCTGTGGAAAGAAATCCTTTTTCTCCTCTCCCATGGCCTCTGGAACTGTTGGAAACCTTTCCTTTAACCAGAAAGGCTCCATACCCTCACTCAACAAGAATCCCTCGCTCGGAGTCTTCCTCTTTTCTCCCAAATCTTCCTTCTCCTGGTACTTACTCCCCTGGGCTCTCCTAAAGCAGAACCAGGAGTTCCCACCTCTGCTGTCTCCAGTTGTCTCTTCCCTGTACTCATGGCAACATCAGATGCCAGCCCCAGTTCACCCCTACGGGCCAAGGACCTCCTGAGTGAGTCATCAGAAGCCCCTGGGCTGAACCAAGTGTCCTCTGAGGTGACCTCCCAGCTGTATACTTCTTTGCACCTCAGTCGTCAGGCAGAGAGCACAGCACGAGCCCAGCTGTATTTACCTGCCGCCTCCCCACCTCCCCGTGAGGTGTTGGATGGCTTGGCCCAAGGACTGAGTCACAGCTTGTCAGTGGGATTGGAGAACAACTTGAAGAAGAAGGTGAGGGAGGTCTGCCTTGGACACCTCTAGGGTCTTGGGATTGGGGGTGGTAAAAAAAAAAAAAAAAAAAGAGCTTTACTGAGATTTGAGCTCCTGTTGTTGGATTCCATAATTTCTTTTAACTACACAGTTTAACTACCATGCTTGTTCCTGTGAGCAAATGTTGATGAGAGTCCTGAGCCATTCATAATAAGTTGGAAAACTGTGAGACTTACTTTTTTTTTCCCTTCAGAGACACCCATGGGGTAGGTTGCTGTGCTTTAACTGGGATGTGGGTGCTGGAAATGAGGATAAGGGTTCTTCATCCCAAGAGGAAACTAGGGATTTAAGGAAAATATTCTAAGATCCTTTCATCTTGAAACTGTTTTGATTGTATGGTTCAAAATTTGGTATGTAAATCATTAGAACAGTTTAACCAATTATACATGTTACCAAGAAGATAGTGTCAGATAAAACACATATCATAACCCATCTGCAGACTGTCTAGGCCTCCCAGAGTTTGAAAAACTGATAGCCGTGGACAGCAGAGTCTTTATACAGGATATTTGCTTTCTAGTTGGAAGGAATCCTCACCACTCTTACCTTAAGATGCCCAGTTAATTCATTTGCATTGCCTCTCTGGCTTCCATAGACAATTGAGTTTCTCATTGAATCAGTTCTATTTTTCTTGCTTTCCAAGGTATGAGAGTAAAAATTCTTGGGCCTTAGGGGCCACTCGATGCCATCTACCCTGGATGCAGTATGGATTATTGCATCGGATTTCTGCATTGCTTTTTTTCTAGGATGGTTCCAAGCATATCTTTGAGATGGAGAGTGTTCGGGGTCAACTCCAGAGCATGCTCCAGACCTCACGTGATGCGGCTTATCGTGAGTGATTTTCTATAAAGGAGAACCTAGATTTAAGGGGTGGGAAAAAGTGGAGAAAGCTAGCAGGATATCTGTGGGCTGGAGACCTAGACTCAGAGATAAGAAATTTCAGGAGAAAAGGCTCCCGTTCTTACGGAGAGAGGCAGGAGGAGTGGGTGAAGTAGAAAGGAAGGGCCACTCCTCTCTTCTCCTTCAAGTGATCCCTGTCCCCATCCTTACCTGACCCTGGCTGTGGGTCCCTCTGGCTGCCTGCAGGGGATCCCCCGACTCCAGGTGCCGACTCTGAGAGACGGGAAGAGGACTCCTTTGACAGTGACAGCACAGCCACCTTGCTTAAGTGAGTTCTCCCTGGGGTTCTCCTAGCTGCCTTCCTCTCTTTCTTAGAAAGTCAAGTGTTCTGTTGCTTGGTTCTCCCTTTGCTGCTTTTGTACCTCTTAAGGACCTAAGATGCTTTTTACCCTTCCTTGCCTTTCTTCTGTCCTGCTTACTCCTTTGGGAACTTAGGCATCCACTGCTTAGTACCTGGCTTTCTAGGTCCTTCCTCCTCCGAAAGAATTAGCTCTTTTCTGCTGTGACTCGTGCTGCAGGGAGCGTGGAGTAGAGGAAGGAGTACTATAGAGTGACTCACAAAGCCTGTGTGCTCTCTAGGGCTCTGTCATTTATCTACGTAACTTTGTGACTTTGGGCATGGCTCTTGCCCTGAGTTGTAGTTTCCTTATTTGTAAAATGTCTGGAAATGGGACTCTGGGTCTCTAAAGCTTTCCCATCCCTACTGTTCTCTACCTAATCTGCTCAGCACCCGACCGCTGCAAGACTTGTCTCCATCCAGCTCAGCCCAGGCCTTTGAGGAGTTGTTCCCCCGCTACACCAGTCTTCGGCCAGGGCCCCCGCTCAACCCCCCAGATTTTCAGGGACTGAGAGATGCACTGGATTCAGAGCATACTCGTCGCAAGGTGAGATACAAAGGCTTCCTTTTGACAGAAGCAAAGATTAGAAATAGGGCCAAGTGCTAAAAGATTAAGGTCTTGCAAGCTAGGATTTTACTCAAATGGCTCTCCTATGAGGAAGGCCTTCTTTGACCGTCCTGTTAGGATGGCACACCTCCCCTCCAGGTATTCCTTCAGATCATTCTGTTATTTCCTTCATATAGTTTATCAAAGTCTGGTATGTCTTGTTTGTTTCCCCTCTTTAAAACCTAAGCTCCACATGGGTCATACCTTATCTTGTTCAGTAGTGTCTTCCTAAAGTCCAGAACATACCCAACACAAACAAATACTCTGTAAATGTTTGGTGAATGAACAACAAATTGTTAGCTTGTGCAAAGCTACTGTTGATATAATGAGCTTTGTTTCTGGAGCCTCAGCCTATCTGAAGCGGGCAGAGAGCAGGATGAGGCAGAGGAAAAGTCGGAATTATTGGTTGTGTTGTCATTTTTGGAACCTTCTCTTCCTCTATTTTAAACTGCCTGGGCGTGAATGAAAGGCTTTCACCTTTCCCCTTGCCACGCTGAGTCGTTGTGTCCAGTATGCTTCTTAAGGCAGGAGTAACTTCTCACTCTTTGCAGCATGGACTACTGCACCCCTGCCGAAAGGTTCATGGAAACTTTTCTCAGGAGATCTAGGAAAGGGAAGAGGCTGGAGACCAAACCCCTGCTTCCTGAGGTGGTAGAGGAAGGCATTGGAGATCTCAGGCTCCGGAATTCCTGATTCTCCTTCAAACATGTTCTGTTCTTGGGACCCAAGCTCCCTGTCTTCCCCCATAGAGAAACTGGAAAGTTTGGAGCTTTGGTCAAACTAAGGGTGGCAACACCCAGACCCCCTCACCCTTCTTCCCAGCATTGTGAGCACCATATTCAGAACCTGCAGACCCGTGTCCTTGAACTTCAGCAACAGTTAGCCGTGGCCGTGACTGCTGACCGAAAGAAAGATATCATGATTGAACAACTGGACAAGGTGCCAGGGGCGTGGAATGCGGGTGGGTCTCTCCATGGGGGGCACCAAAGAATACAGGGGGAGGCCAACCAACATTTGTTTGTTCACATTAGCAGTTGGGGGCGGGTAAATGCTGGGTCTGCTGACCACTGGAAGAAGGTGGCTGTTGGCCCTGCTCCTATGGACACAAAGAGGGAAGAAAAATTATTTGAAATTCTATGTGACCTCCTTCCTTTCCTGAGACCCTGGCCCGTGTGGTGGAGGGCTGGAACCGGCATGAAGCTGAGCGGACAGAGGTGCTTCGGGGACTCCAGGAGGAAAGGCAGGCAGCTGAACTCACTAGAAGCAAGCAGCAGGAGGTGGGCAACCAGGATCACGAGGCATTAGAACCTGGGTCACCGATGGCTGGACAGGGGAGGAACCAGGGTACCTCACAGGTTGACCTCCAGCTTGCCATAGCTAGCCTGATAATTCTTCTCCTGTGTCCTCTCCCTTCAGTGTTTCTGCTGTCAGACTTGCGTGGTTGATGTCTGCTCAGCTCTCCTCATCCCTCTGGCCTCCAAGTCATTTAGTTAACCCTTGCTTTTAAAGTTTATGTTGTTAATGATTTTCGAAGGGTAGCATGCAGGGATTCTCCTCAGTTCCTCCATGCTGTGTTCTCTCCCTGAAAGACAGTAAC